AGATTACTGGGCCAAAAAATTGTTCATTGATCAAAGGAGTACTTGGAAAACACTCATATACTATACTGTCTGCTTGGAAAGTCACAACACATGCTGGAGTGCTTAAAGGATTTAAAAAAGAGGTGAAACCAAAAATAATTTTCAATTGGGGGATAGTTAAATGCATTCAAGAACAGTAATCAGCTGTTTTTAAAAAAAGATGATATAAATTTCTACATGCTAGTCTGAAATGTCTCCTAGACATGTTGTTGAATAAAAATTAAATCAAAATTCTAAACATGAATAATAGCCCATTAAATACCTCCAAATTCTCTGTGCGTATGTTTTATATGCAATACAGTAAAATATATAAACATTCCACAAGGATGTATACCAAATTATTAAGAATGACAGCCCCTGGGGAACAGGGCTGGGGGGCAGAGGGAGACTTCCATTTTTACTTTATAGATTTAGCTATTATTTGAATTGCTTTATAGCCCCTTTATTACTTTTATAATAAAAAAACAAGCACTAAATTAAAAAAGAGAAGTAAAATCGAGCAGTAAATACATCTGCTTAGCTTTAAGTGAGCATGTCCCAACTCATGTAATCAAGGAACCCGTTTTGTGGAGCACACAGAAACAACTTGTGCAACCAATCCTGAAGTTACTGCACCTAAGGCTCTCCCCACACACTGCCACGCACATGGGTTTTCACCTCCTGTGACCTTCTGTAAATGAGTGAAGGAGATAGAAGGGACTTCAGAGTTGATCATGGACACCCCGTCACTTTTGCAACAAAGGGGCCTAGGTCATGAAGAGAAGGGCCTTGGCCAACATCAGCCTGAATCTTCACCTGGGTCCTTACTCATCTTTTCTGTAATCATCAGGTGAATTAGATGGACCATGACCTTTGAATTTCATTTAAAACTCATTCAATTAAAAAAATCATTAAAAATACCTCCAGGTCTCAAGAAAATTGTCAGATCCTCCGAGTAAGCCCTGACCTCAATGTGCTCCCTCAGTTCCAGGCACAGTGCAGGGGGATCCTAAGGACCCTCCTTCTTCCCAATGGCCTATCTTGTTCTACAACTTTTTAGGAGGAGGTAAGTGCCGTTCAAAGGAAGGGACCCTGAAGATCCAAGATGGCTGCGCCCAGGTAAACACCTAGCCGCAGCCGCACACAACAATTTCAATAAAATACAACTAAAATATAAAACGGACATTACCCAGAACTACAGGAAAGTTGACTGACTGGAAATCCTACAGCGAGAAGCAAGGAGAAAACCAGAAGGAAGCATGGAGGAGCTGTAAAAGCCTGAGGTATGGAGACACGGAGCGCAGAGAGGATGGAGCCAGAGAGGAGGGGGAGGCGGAGTGCCTGGCGGGCGTTCCCTAGCGGGAAGGAGATAAAACTCCAACTGTGCTGGGCCCCTGACTGCTCTGAACCCCAGTCCTAGGCCAGACCCCGGGAACCCAGGCTCATCCAGAGGGAGCCGGGCTGTAAGGTGGAACCCCAGGGAGCGGTGAAAGGAGGTCCCAGAGGCGCGCACACTGCAAGCAGAGAAGGGACGGTCGGCTGTGCCACGGGATTGCCTGATGGGAAGGAGACAGGGGCGCCAGACTGCTCTGAACGCCACCTCCAACTCCACTTCCAACTGAACTGAACCCCAATACCGGGCTCATTGCGGGAGAGCATAGACTGTTGGGCAGCAGGCGAAAATTGAGGGCACCTTTCTTTCAGAGGCGCTTGCAGCGAGTACTGAAGGACCCTGAGACTCAGGAACCGCATAGGGCAGGGCTGACGGAAGCCAAAGCTGCAGGCTCCACCCTGAAACCCCGTCCCATCTGTAACTGCGAAATGCGACAACAAAATAGATCACAAACAAAAGAAATGGAGGACAAAAAGCGTTTGGATATAGAGTTCAAATCTATGCTTATAAGGTTTTTCAAGAATTTCCTAGAAAAGATGGATAAGACCTATGAGGATATGAAAAGAGATCAACTAGAATTAATAAGGAGTCTCAAGAAATGATAAGGGATCAACAAGAAATAAAGAATACATTATCTGAAATAAAAAAATATTTTACAGAGTCCTAAAAACAGAAGGGAAGATAGCAAGAATCAAGTCAAAGATTTGGAACATAAAGAGCCAGAAGACACTCCTCCACAGAAGCTAGAAGGCAAGAGAATCCAGAAAATGGAAGATAATGTAAGAAACCTCTGGGACAATTTCAAGTGAACCAACATCAGAATCATGGGGGTCCCAGAAGATGAGAGAGAGCAAGATATCGAAAACATACTGAAAGAAAGAGTGACAGAAAACTTCCCCCACCTGGTGAAAGAATTAGACTTACAAGTCCAGGAAGCTCACAGAACTGCAAACAAAAGGAATCCAAAGAGGACCACACCAAGACACATCATAATTAAAATTCCAAGAGCAAAAGACAAAGAGAGGATATTAAAAGAAGCAAGAGCAAAGCAGGTAGTTACCTATAAAGGAGTACCTATACGATTGTCAGCTGACTTCTCAACAGAAACCATGCAGGCCAGAAGGGAATGGCAAGAAATATTTAAGGTGATGAATAGTAAGAACCTACAGCCAAAGAAAATCTATCCAGCAAAGTTATCACTCAGAATTGAAGGTCAGATAAAGAGCTTCACTAATAAAAAAAAAAGCTAAAGGAGTTCATCAACACCAAACCAGAATTATATGAATTGCTGAAGGGGGTTCTTTCAGAAGAGAAAATAAACAAAGATAAAAACTATGAACAACAAATACGTAACTATCAACAAATGAATCTAAAAACCAAGGAAATTAAAAAAAAATCTGATGAACAATAGTAACTGTTGAATATAATAGAATCAGAGGTATGGAAGGGGAGTGAACTGACGATTCTTGGGGAAAAGGGGAGAGGGGGGTGTGGGAAGAGACTGAACATAAACTGTGCACCTATGGATGAGGACAATGTGGGGTGGGGAAAGGGCAGAGGGTGGGGTGGGAACCTGGTGGAGGAGAGCAATGGTGGGGCGGGAAAAAAGGGAACATTTGTAATAATATGAACAATAAAAACTTATAATATTAAAAAAAAGTCTGGAAATACTTAACAACTTAAAAAAAAAAAAAAAAAAAAAAAAAAGGAAGGGACCCTGGTCCTGGCTTGTTTGGCTCAGCGGACTAAAGGTTTGATTCCGGTCAAGGGCACATGACTGGGTTGTGGGCTTGATCCCCAGTGGGGGGCATGCAGGAGACAGCCAATCAATGGTTCTCTCTCATCATTGATGTTTCTATCTTTCTATCCCTCTCTCTGCCTCTCTGAAATCCATTATATATATAAGTCAATTATATGTATTTATAAAAAAAGGAGGGACCCTGGAAACAGTTAGTAGAAAATAGTAAGGGTCTTGCAGCAACTTGGGATCCTCAGTGAAGAATAGATACATAGAAGCATAAACACCCTCATTCCCTCAAACAGCATGGGTTTGAGCTGGGCAGAACTGGCTTTGAATCTGATCTCTCAATTCTGCCTTCCTCGAGCTATCTAACATTAAGTTCCTTAACTGGGAACACAGAAGAGTGGACAGACTACTCTTTGGAATCATATGAACTCAGTAACAATTCCTCAGTCTGGCTCTTACTAATGTGATCTTGGGCGAGTTGCTGAACCTTGATTTTCTGTGCTAACTTGGGGATAAGGTCAATCTTGTGGACTGTTAGAATAACAAATGTAGTTACACAGAAAGAAACCTAGCACACTACATACATCCTGGTTTCTTTCCTTCCTTTCCCAAAGCTAGCATACCATAGAGGGATAGCCAAACAACAGTGTTTAGAAGTATATTTGATGAGAAGAGCATTCCACACGGATTCAGAGATAATAAAAAGTTAAAATGAGGATTCTGGGCTACCTCTCCCATACATAGTCTATGATTCTTCAAGTGACAATGTTATTTTTGCCACATACCTTAGCTCTATCACCTAATAAATATGACCTTGTGTCCTCTTCTGTAAAATGTGGATAAGAATTGTGCGCACTTCTCAGGGCTACTGTTGAAATTCAGTGAGATAAAGCCCATAAAGTTTATACATGCCTGGCAGAGAGCCACTACTCATGAATACGGCTATCGTTGCTGTTGTCAAGGCCACTATAAAGATTAGACAGTGCATATAGAAATCACGTGACAGTGCTTGGCACATAGGTGGTGTACAAAAAATATTACTTTTTTTCAGCTCCCCTCCTTTGTAAAAAATATTATTTTTTTTTTTTACTGATTTCAGAGAGGTAGTCCAGAATTTCTATATGCATTGTCTCTTTTAATATTTATAGAAATTAAGGAATCAAACTGTGACCTCTTGGTTCATAGGTCGACGCTCAATCACGAGGCACACCAGCTGGCCATTGTTGCTTCTAATACCCCTCTTGATTGTACATTCCTAATGGCTAAGGCCCAATACATGCTGTCATTCCAGTAATGACACATCAAAACAGAGTCACCAAGGGATATGAGGGTAATTATTCACAGTTTTCACCAGGGATAAAAGCTTTCTGGAACAAACAGCCATGTCCAGCCCCGAGAGAGGCCAGGCTCGCCGGCGAGGAGCAGCAGGTGCTGCCTGCACTCTCTCCCCAGCCCTCGGAGCTACACACGTGGAGTCAATGGCCGAGTGTGTAATAGCTCATCTCACAAAGACGTAATGTCACAAATAATGCCTTGTCCTGAAACCACCGCGTTCTGCCCGAAGTTCAAAGCTCTCCAGTGAGCGTTTCATTACCTGTTGGGATCCTCTGGGGATCCCAGTGAAGAGCCATTGTTGCTATTACCTTATAAAGATGAGAGTGTACAGTGTAGAGAAATTAAATGCCTTGACTTTGCTCCAACAGTCGATCAGTGCCGACAGAGGGCCTGGAAGCCTGGGTGTGATCCCTGAGCTAGGGCTCCAAGTCCCACCCTTGGGAGCACCTTGGAAAGATGTGGCCCTCTGCCCCCATTCCTCCCTGGACCAGAAACTACAAGGCTCACCTGTCACTGAACTGCACCTCCTCTCCATTCCTGGCCCAGCTGATGGTGGGCCGAGGGTTGCCCACGGCCTCGCAGTGCAGAAGCACGCTCAGCGTCCCGCTGGCCAGGGCTACCGTCTGGCCCAGGTGGGTGACCACCTCGGAGGCGGAGAGCTGCTGGGCCGCCGAGATCTTCCGCAGGATGGTGGGCTTGCGGTGCGGCCGGCGGGAGCCCCCAGCTGTCTCCCCCCCGGAAGAGGAGGCTGCGGCGCGGAGCAAGCTGGTGAAGCTGGACACGGGCTTGCGCGGCGGGATGGCCACGGGGGGGATCCGCTGCTCAGACGGCTGGAGGAGGGCGTCCCGGGGCTCCTCGTGGCGGCGGAAGACGTCCTGGGCCAGCTGGGCCACCAGGTGCTTGGCGTAGACATCGCGCAGCTCCTCTGGCTGCTGGGACAGGTTGCGCAGGATGTCGTCCAGGCGCTGCTGCTCTGCCACGATGTTGAAGGGCAGGTGCAGGAGCGCCTGCTCGGCGTTCTGATTCTCCTCCTCGGAGGACGACGATGCGTTCCTCTCGGCCGAGTCCTGCGCCTCCCAGGCGGCCAGCAGCTCGCCGGGCCAGCCGCCCTGCTCCAGCAGCCGCGACACCAGCTCGTCGTAGCGGCTGCCCGCGTCCGCGGCCAGGCCCCGCTTCTCGGCCTTGCTGCCGTTGTTGGAGAAGATGCCGTTCTGGTGCTTGTGGGGCTGCAGGGGCTCTTTGGGGTGCGCCTTCCTCACGCGGGGCGCCTCCTCCTCTCCCCGCGGGCTCCCCGGCGGCCGGGCCACGAGCTTCTGGTTGCCCCCGATGAGCTTGATCGCGAACTGCTCGCGGGCCGGGCCGGCGGAGCAGGTGTAGACGCCCGCATCCGAGGGCTTGAGGCGGTGGATCTTCAGGTAGCCGAACGGGGCCACGGTGACGTGGGCCGAGCTGACCAGGTGCTGGCCGTCCTTCTCCCAGGTGATGAGCGGCTTGCGGAAGCGCCTGGCGGGGCAGCGCAGCACCACCGTGGTCTTGGGGAGCAGGTAGGCGAACCCGCCCACCACGAAGTGCAGCTTCCTCTGCCTGCGCGTCTGGATGTACACCTTCCGGGCCGCCTCGATGTGCGGGCTGTGCTTGGTGGACAGCCGCCCGGGCCCTGGGATGAAAGGGAAGGTAGATGAACAAGGGGAGAGCAGAGAGACATGAGAGGAGACAAGAAAGAGGGGGGAAAAAGAGAGAGTAGGAAGGGAAGAGAAGAAGAATGGAAGGGACGAGAAGGAAGAGAAGAGGCGAGGAAAGTGCTTCAGAGTGGCATTAGGCTGAATAGGAGGAACTGGCTACCAGCTGTGCATCCTCAAGCTGCCGCCACAATAAAAACCAGAGAACAAATGAGCTGCAGCCGGGCGCTCGCTCGCCCTGCTGGGTCTTGCTGTCTTTAGGGGCTGGGATGCAGGGTTCTAGATGCAGGGGCTTCAGGGGAAAGCAGTTCTTCTCATTAGAAGGACTTAGAAATGAACATCGTTACAGAGAGACAGAGGGCAAAGGGAAGGAGAAAGTCCCTGTTTCCATGTTTATCCTTTGTACCCGCAGAGCACCTGGGCCCTTCTGGGCCCTGGGGGAGGAGAGCCTAGAAGTGTTACAACTCCAGGAATAAATATTAAAGAGAACAAATCTGTTCTGAGTAGTTTAAAACCCCAGAGAGGATAACATGAGTCTTCATTAGCAGTAGGCTGCCTCCGGCTTCCAGATCTCCTTATGTCTACCGGTGACCTTTGCTCTCCCTCTTGCCAACTTTTTCCAGGAGAGAAGAGAACCTCACTTGGACAGCAGTCATTAAGATTCCTTTTCCATCTGCAGCTGAGCTCCCCAGCCTGCTGCCCTCCAGGGCCCCACCACCTCCCACCAGCCTGGGCTTAGGGAAGGTTACTGCGTGCTTCCACATGGGGTTCATCTCCCCACCCCTGAGCTTCAAGGTACTCACTTGCACAGGTTGCCAGCATACAGGGCCTGATGGATGAGGAGAATGGCAGGGGAGGGCACAGGGAGGAGTTGACAATAGCCGAGACCCCGGTTTTCAGCACCTTCCTGCAGATGGCACTCCGCGTCTGGGTGCCCTCGCCGCAGCTCGTGGAGCACTGATGGGAGAGAAAGGCCAAATGCATGTGAATGTAGCATGGGCAAAGGGCCCTTGTATGAGTTCTCAAACTCACCAACACATGAGAAAAGTTATTTGAAATCTGCAACTCTGACAGAGAGAGAGAGGGGGCGGGTGAGAGATTACTTGACAACATGTAAAGACATGTTGCAGCTACATAACGTTTTCTACTGTAAGGTTTCCTGTAGGCATTTCATCTGTTTAGATCTGTGGCCTGGGCTTTAGAGTTACTGAGTTAGAGTCCAGTGTTCAAATCCATCTCAGTATTTCACTACTTGGCAAGTTACTTAAACTGTCTGAGGCTATTTCCACTTCTTGTGCTTATTTTGCAAGGTTGGGCATTAAATGAGGTAATATATTTCAAGTTCATGCACAGAACTGGCATTCAATGCTAATTCATTTCTCCTTTCTTCACAAATAAGTTAAAATATTTTTAATGTCAAGCATCAGAAAACATTTTTAATTTTTTTTTAACTGTCTAAAGTTTTACATATGTCTCCTTTTCTCCCAATTGACACCCTCCTCCCAGCCATTCCCACCCCAGGCAAACCCCCATCACTCCAGTGCAAGCATCAGATAATTGTTATATATCTACATCATTTGAGGTGGGGTGCTAGATACTATAGAAAAAAATCATGCAAGATAGTTCCTAATGCCAAGGGGCTGTCATCAAATGAAGGAAATATTAAAAATACATTATTAAAATGAAATAGTACTTTAGGGAAATAGAAATCAAAAGCACATTGAGATACCACTTCATATTCATTAGAATGGCCATCATAAAAAAGGACAGGTAATAATAAGTATTGGTGAGGATGTGGAAAAATTAGAGCCTTCATACATTGCTAGTAGGAACATAAAATAACATAGTCCTCTTGGAAAACAATTTTTTTTAAAAATAATTTTTTAAAATAGTTTCTTAAAAAGTTAAATATAAATTTATAATGAGACCCAGCAATTTTATTCTTAAGTATCTAACCAAGAGAAATGAAAATAATACATCCATACAAAGATTTGTATGTTAATATTCATAACAGCATATTCATAACAGACAAAAAAGTGAACGAATCAAATGTTCATTAATTAGGAAATGGATAAACAAAATGTGGTATATCTATAAAATGGAATATTATTCTATCAAATAGAAATTTAGTTCTATGTGCTACAACATGAATAAAATTTGAAAACATTATGCTAAATTAAAATTTGCAGTATTCAAGTTATACTTCAGTTAAGCTGTTTAAAGAGTCAAATAGTAATAAAATTTTAGTAAAAATACAAACCTAAAGGACAAGTGAGGCATTATAAAGTTAATTCTAACAATTGTTGAATGCTTATGGTACACTGGGGATTTCCTGACCTTGAATGTGGATAGAGTCTAGACAGGTGTAGAGAACCAGGGATTAGCATGGGAGACAGGTACATAACCAGAACAAAGGTAGAACCGTTCAGTGCAGAAGTCCAAGGCAGGTTTGGGGGCAGAACTCAACCGCTTTTGAGCAGAAGGATCCTATTGAGAGCATCAGGAGTTCAAAAGGCCAGACATTGGGAGACTTTTAATTTTTCAGACAGGAGGTTTGGAATTGGTCCATAAAGCAAAGAGGAGCCATAGAAGGGAGGAGTGAAATGATGAAAGAAGTGTTTTGAGAAGGTTAATCTGGCAACAGTGTCCGGGAGAGATGGGAGTAGAAGATGGATGGCAGGTAGGGCTATCAGTTAAGGAGGCTGCCACAGTAGTCCAGGTTTGAGATGATAAAGGCCTGAACTAAGGTCATGGCAGTGTGCCATGGTAACTTGAAAAATGACAGTAAAAGCCAAAAATATATTATCTTATCTTTTCAAGTATTATATGCTAGCCCATTGAAACAAACTACTCCATGCAAAGTTCTATGATCCACACTACTCTGAGAGACATTTAAGATGCAAAAAATGGGGATGAGAATAAAACCTATTGGTTTTGTTCCTCCAATGATTATAGATTCCAGATTCCACTTATCCCTTATTTCATTGTAAATGACAGCACCAAATCCAGAGATCAGGTAGAAAAGAGGTAAAGAGCATGGAAAATTTGAAAGCGTGGCCATTTTAGTGCTGCTTAGTAGAAAAATAGACTGTATGTCAGACAATCGATTTATGATATTGGTCAAGTCTAGTTCTTTCTCTAGGCTCAATTTCCACTTTGCTAAAATAGGGAGACTAAGCTAGAGCAGGGAGTTTCAAACTGTAACTATGTTAAGTGAGTGATTTAGGGGCTTCTCATATGAACTGAAGACCCATCCGTTGGAAATCTGGGACCACTACCCACACTGCAACCAAAACAGCTCTGACTTGATCTGTTTTAGATTTTTGACTTCATAGTAACATTTCAATTTAGAAATTTAGAGTGCTGTGACTAATTTTTATAAGAACAACTAGGCTATGGGTTCTTCTAAGTTCCCTCTAGCTTCAAAATATAGACTTTATTTTATTTAAACTTTTTTGGGGGGGTGGGGTGGGGAACAACTTCCCTAAAAATAAGATTTAAAAATATTTACTAGCTAACTCTTTCAGGAGATGGAAGGGTTTCTTTTACATAAAAGAGGTAAGGCCTTTTGAGGGTCTTATTCTCAGAATAGAATCTGAGAGTAATTTTACTTAAGGTGTCTAAACCTTTGGCTTAATTCTGTCTCTGAGGGATTCTGTGCAGTAACCAGGAGATCGAGGCAGATAGTGAGGGATAAAGACACTCATAAATCATTCAGGGCTTCCTTCCTCCTGGGGGCTATGGGATGTACTGGTTTGTGTGGAATGCTTCTCAACCATGGGGCCCAGAGTAGGAATGACAGGGCCAACTGGAGCCTCTGGTTACGCCTGCAGGGCACTTTTCTATGGCACCAGTGTGAGTTTCATCCTCTTGATCACTTCCCACCATTCTCAGCCCCTCCTCAATGATTGGAATTTCCATTCATCAACCCTGATAGCTCAGAATCTAATAATATCCCTTGGATAATCACAAATGATTCCTAGTTCCCACAATGCACCTTCCTCTTCCTAGGAAGACTGGAAAAGGCTGGGGAGGTTTAAGTCATGACCCCTATTCTAGCCAGTCAAGGGAGTCCTTTCTTTTATTAACTCTCTTCCCGACAATGTGCAGGGATGGAAGATAATCATGACAATAACTATGGCTAACTTTCAGTAGGCACAAAACACTTTATAAGCATCATTTAGTTTAAGCCTCCTGATAATCATAAAGGTGGACACTATGATTATCTCCAACATTTAGATAAGTGAACTAAGGCCATGAAAGGTTAAGTAACTAGCCCAAGGATATCAGAGCTTTCATACATTATTGGTGGGAATGTCAAATACAACCAGGAAGTAGTAGAGGCAGCAATAGAAACTAAGTAAAGGTCTGCTCTACTTAGTGGTTTCCATGGGATCTTAATTCAGCAGTCTCCTTTCCCTAGTGCCTAATCACAAGGGTTCCTCCTTCAAGTCTGCAGGCCAAAAAGGACATTTTCTGGATTCTGTGTCCCATATGCTCAGGGACTACGAAGTCCAGGAACACGGGAGAACAATTATAATCACAAAATCAGCATTCCATTCATGGCAGACTATCGCCCATGGACGTAGGAGAGCAATGCCTTGTGCAGTTCACCCAGGGAGGAGGTCTTCATCTGAAGCCACCTACTTGGCAAATATACCAGGGCTCTTTCCTGCACTGCTATATTTATCACGACTTTTTTTTCATATCTAATATCATGCCCCAAATCATCACTCCATGGGAAAATTTACACACACACACACACACACACACAGACACACACACACAGACACACAAATGCACATATTTTACACAACCTTTCCCTCTATCCTGTTTCTAAAACATGACATTTTATTGTTCTGAGATATTTAGGGGTAAGAAACCACAAGAAGGCAATTTTATTGCTAAATTATAAAACTTATGATGATGCAGGCTAACTCTCAATTGCAATGTCCTTAGCAGGCCTCATCTGATGGGACTCTATATGGGTTAATAAAATGTGGGACAAGAATTCTAAGCACCTATGTTGATAGAGCTGGCATCTTAACTTTCAGAGGCAGCTTCCCCCTTGGTAGAAGCAAGTGCCTTGTGATGTATTTCAGCCAGAAGCTTGTATAGCAAGCAAAGAAGGCAAAGGAGTCAGCAATGCCAATTCAAATGTTGCCCTATGCAAAAAAAAAAAAAAAAAAAGAGGGAGTGGCCCTTGAATCTGATTTTGACATAACACTTCAGGCCTAGTGATTCTTGGCTAAATTTGCCTGAAGGGCAACAATTTGGGGAAAGGGGGGCTTCTCTATGTAAGACACACTGGCCTGTTGTAGGCAATTCAGAAAGATGTAGGGGCTGAAAACGAATCAGTTGAGCTGGGTTTAAATGAATGAATTGATGCTGTGTTAGAATAGGAATTATTTAGACAGATTAGTTGGGGGCATATCCTTAACTTTTGAGGCAAGTCAGAAAGGGTGAAGGCTGATACAATCATCTCCGTAAAAGCAAGACAAGAGGGGAAATCAAGTTATCTTGCTGGGAAGTTGTTGAAGTTTGGAGCCAGAAAACGGACAGGAAAGAGGCAAGATTTCCTTGGCCTTCTTTTCCTAATAAGTCATGTTCCTGATTGCCTAGTAACGTGGAAGAGAAGAACTTGAGAGCCTTGACCCTTTCTAGTCTCTATGTAGAGACTAGAAAAATCCTGGAATAGGAGGTGCAGGGAGGTCAGGAAGGCACGTTTGGAGACAGAGGGAGAAGAAGCGTATGTTCTGAGAAGAATCCTGGGCCCAAATAGCATGAGTGAGGCCTGGTCTTGTTCCATGAGGAACCTGTCTATGATTGCATGCTTCGGATTGCTGAATAAGGGCTGACTGCTTAGCTCACACCCCTGTAGACTAGTTAAAAGTTAGTCACCCAGGATGGTGTAAGTGGTTACAATAATTTGGCTCCATAATGTTAGGAGGATTATTTTGTTCTGTTCTCGCCTCCCTTTCCTCCTTATTGATGCCTCTTTCGTCATCTCCTTCTACCACACATACCTCTGACCAGTCAGAGAGGAGCCACTCGCTGGGACAGTCTTCTTTCTTGCAGGCTTGCTGGGAGGCCAGTTTTGAGGCTGAACAGAAGGTCTCGGGAAGCTCCAGGAAGCTGCCATCGGCCATGCGCTGCTTGCAAAGCACCTCACGCCTTTGGATGCCCCCTCCACAGGTCCTGGAGCACTGGGCAGGGAAGGAAAATCAACCCAACATAAGAGAGTGGTGTGTTGGAGTGCCAAGTTTTGCCTTGGCCTTGGTTGAGTAAAGAGTGAAAAAAGAAAAGAAAAAAAAAACAAAAAACAGAAAAAGAAGAAAAACCAGGAACCAGCCCAAACGGTTTCGCTTCCTCTCCGTGAAATACATTTTGGAGCAATGTATTTCAAGTATTTAACTGGAGTGCCTAGGAATTCCAAGAGCATTTAAATCTTAAAATTTGCTTTTGAACGATGATTTGTAGCCACCCCAAACAACTGGTTTAAAAGGTTAGTATAATAGAGTGTTAAGCATATTTACGATCCAGTGAAAATAATCTGTGCTGCTTCCTGAAGGAACAAGAGAGCGTGCCTGCTCTGGAAGAACTCATCTGCAGAGAAGGCAGCCCTTTCTGAGTGTAAGCGCCCATGTCACCCCATCGGAGGGGCGTTAAACGTGAGGCCTGGTGTGCTGAACTCCCCCGGCACACTTTTCTTGTTGGAGTTGTGATTTGTTAGGGCAGTGGGAGCAAGAGGCACTGATACTTTAGCATACAAGAAAAATAGCCTTATTTCAGTGGTTTTTAGCAGGACCCCAAACACACTGCCTATGTGTAACCTCATAGTTCTAATCCACTTGTTCGAGGAGGGAGAAAGGACCCCACCGGCACAGAGTGTTGGCGTGGTTGCAAGTCTTTGCCCTTCCCTTGCAATAGCAAAGGGGCCCCCAATTTGTAACTGCACATGTGACTTTTCAGCCGACAGCCTAGATGTGGCCACCTCCCTTGAAGGTAGGAATGGCCAGGTGACCAAGTGCTGCCCCTGCTCCCTCAGTGGCCACTTAGCATTTGGGGTCTGTGCTCAGTGCACTGAATTCAGAACTGCAAAGGACATTTGTGCCCCAGATGAAAGTAGGGTGGTGATACATGTCCTTGAGCATAATTAGCAGACTGTTGGGCCCAGCTGCCATCCATTCCTCAATGGTCCCAACCTTAGATGCTTTGTAAAATGGCTTGTGTGTGTGTGTGTGTGTGTGTGTGTGTGTGTGTGTGAAGTACTGAGGTCTTACATTTAATCACAAATTTAATCATTAAATCAGAAACTCTGATATCAGTTTTTAAAACAAAAATAAAAAATAATTCTCCCAGGTCATTCTGCAACCAGGGTTGAGAACCATCTCTCAAAGAATGCCCCTCTACCATTTCCAATGGGAATGCTAGTGAGATAACCATAGAGGGGACATCCGGGGACCCAGAGAGGCCTCTGTTAGAACCAGTGGTTGTTTGGATCGCCCTGGAGCAAAAGTGCCTTTGTTTATAGTTGTGAATGGCTTCAGGTCAAGGCCCTTTAAAAAATGTTTTATTATATTTTTTGCTATGTTTCTTTATTTTTTAATTTTATTTTTGATTTATCTCTATTGTGGAAAATATTACATATGCCTCCTTTTCTCCCCCACTGAGTCCTTCTACTCATCTAAGTACTTCCATAAGAAAAAGTACTTTCTTATGGCTGGATTCCCTCTCCCCCGCTCCTTCCCTTCCCCTCCCCGCCATCGCTGAGCACCTTCACAGTACTATTGTCTGTGAACATGGGTTATACATATATGCATATAAATTCTTTGGTTAATCACCCTGCCCCAGTCCATCTGAGATTCTTCAGTCTGTTCCTTGCTTCCATGTCTCTGGATCTATTTTGTTTATCAGTTTATTTTGTTCATAGAATTCCACATGTAAGTGAGATCATGTGATACTTGTCTTTCTCTGGCTGGCTTATTTCCTTTAGCATAATACTCTCCAGGTGCCTCCATGCTGTCTCAAAGGGTAAGAGATCCTTCTTTTTTAGTTGCATAGTATGCCATTGTATAAATGTACCACATCTTTTTTATCCACTCCTCTACTGATGGGCACTTGGGCTGTTTCTAAATTTTAGCTATTATGCATAGTGCTGCTATGAATATAGGGGTGCATATATTCTTTCTGATATGCTTTTATTAATTTAAATAAGAAGGGAGAGGGGAAGAGAAAGAAATATTCATGAGAGAAACATTGATTGGCTGCCTCCAGCACACCCCCTACTGGGGATAGAGCTGGTAACCAGGGCATGTGCCTTGAATGGGAATCATCCTGGCAACCTATTGGTGCATGGTGCAACCAACTGAGCAACACTGGCCAGGTCTTGTTAGACCATTTAACCCTAGAGCCTTTCAGACCATCTAATATAGTGGTAAACAACCTTCATTTGCATTTCAAAAAATTAAAGTTTTTGAAATGAGAAAGACCTACTGAGTTCCGTTGGGGAAAAAAAAAGTACTTTCTTATGGTTGGATTCAACAACTTAGTGAATAAAAGAAGACTAGGAAAAAGGTGAATCCATCCAATGAGGTTAGTCTTGTCCCCACTTTACAGATGAAAATGCTGAAGCTAAACAGGTGAAGTGACTTAACTAAGGCCCCGTACTGAGCATGTTCTCTGGGCTGGGGTGGTGGACACAACTGAAGAATGAGCCCATGCTTGGTTTCTCTTCCTTGTGGTTGTAGGAACTTCTCTGTTTGTATGGAGGGTACTCTGATTGCTGCTTCATGCTGAGGGCCTAGCCCTTGCAAGCCCCAAGCCTGCTATGAGCCTGGTCTTCCCCTCACCCCCACTGGAGGGGCTGTGCTTTGAAAGTCAATCCTCAGCATCCACTCCGTGACTGCTTTTAACCAGCAGGAAGCAGCCTATGATCCAGCTTGGGCACCAACATTCTAAAACAGCTTATCTGCACTATGGTAGGCCTGGAAATGTGTTCTCTCTAGACATTTCGATTTCTGAGCTGAAAGGCTACATTAAGCATAGCTTCTAGGCTGTGCCACTGGCTGGGTGGTGAGGGAGGCTATGTATGGTGGTCTACAGCCAATTGTTACTCATCACAGATTAAACAGTTTCTTCCAAGACTTGCCTGGCATGTCATCATTTAGTCTTAAGGGAAAATCTAGGGCTTCAAAGCTAATGATTCAACCTGAGGTGGCCCAGGCCTTTGGCTTCTGTGGCTCATTTGGTGATTCCCTGGCCTTTTTATTTATCAGAGAAGCAAACTTTTATTTTAGTTCTTGTTTAGTAGTAGTTCGATAAAGTCTTGAAGTATTTTACTTCTTGAATGCATTTGTACCCACACTGTACTGTGAAGTGCTTTTTGTGAATATAAATCCTCAATAATATTTGTGGAATAAAATTGAATCTATTGGTTGGGGGATTTTTTTTTTTTTGGAATTTTAAATTAGCACCTAAGAATTCCATTTATTCTGAATAAACATTCTTGTTACTGAGGATAACTAAGGTTTTAAAGTCTTTTGTGTGACTTCTTATATTCAGCCTTTTCCTATTTCTTTCCAATTATCACTTCTAACCTATGAGTAATTCTATCACCAGATTCATTATAACCTTCATTGTTCAGGCTGTCTTCAGTACTCTTTTATATCTAGACAACAAACCATCTGCTTTATTGATTCCTGAGCATTTGCCAGACTGCTTAAGTGCCAGACTTAAGGACTGTGCTCTCCACAATGCTTTCCATTCTGCGAATTATTAAATTTCTTTCATAAACTTCATGTAAATTTTGTTCAAATCATAATTGTCTAAAAAAAGTTTATACTGATGAGTTGAAAATTTAAATCTTAAGCTCTAATCTCTCCGCTATTCTTACTCAATATGTCTGCTGAAATGCAAATAGGTATCTTGACCTAAACATGTCTACATGGAACTTAAGATTCTGCCTCTGCAATATCACCCCAATTCTGCTCTCTTCTCAGTCTTACTCATTTAATGGTGCCATAGCCAAGACAAAACTTAGGAGAAGTTCTTGATATTTCTTTTTTCTCACCACCTCTATCCTGACACCCAATCCATGAGCAAATACATTCAAATTTGCTGTAAATAGGAAAATTGACCTCCACAATAAATAATAAATTGGGATACCATCATCTATTATCTAGCCCACTACTAAGCTTCCTAACTGGTTTTCCAGTTTCTAGTTTTCTCAGTTAGCTATTAGCAGGATATATATAGCAAAGTCAGTTGAAGAGAGCTCCTCTCTCTCTTTGATGGTCTCTGAAAACCCCATTGGTTGAACACAACTAGAAGCCAGAGTTAGAGTCTATCTAGGTCAGCCTCCTGAACTCAGTGCAGAAGGTAGGAAGTGGATCTAGAAGAGCAAATGAAGATACTGGGCATTTCACCTTATTCTCCTGCTGTCTATTCCCCACAACAATGATGTTTTCAAAACATAAATCAGCTCACACAATCCCCCTGCTTAAAAACCTCCAATGACTTCTTCTGGTGATTAGAATAAAGTTTCAACTCCTCTAACCCGGCCTTGCAAAGCCCTACATGTTCTGATCCCCACCCTGATGAAACTTTGAGACTGTCTAACTCAAATCCTTCCAACTTCATCCATTCATTCAACACAAAGTTATTAAGTACCAATCATGGACCAAGCCTGGTTCTAGGTCCTAGCAGGAAACGAGAAGTATCACATAATCTTTCTCCAGTTTTGCCTCATACAACTCTCCTTCCTTGAATATTCCAGCCACACTGTTTTGGATTTTGCTGTTGCTCCTCCAATGGCAAGCTTGCTTCTTTCACAGGGTCTCCACACTTGATTTTTTCTCTACTTGGACTATTCTTCTCTTGCATCTCCATGTATCTGAGAATTTATAATCATTCAAGTTCATTTCCATGCTCACCTGTTTAGAAAGGCCATCCTTAACCTCCTAAGCTAGAGTAGCCAAAGCAGTCTCTATACTATAAACCTTATTTTACTTAAATGTTTATTGATTTCAGAGGAAGAGAGAGAAAGAGACACAAACAGAGAAAGAGAGAGAGAGAGAGAGAGAGAGAGAGAGAGAGAGAGAGAGAGCGAGAGAGAGGGAGAAAGAGAGACACACCATGGTATATCCACTGATAGGAATAGAACCATGACCTCCTGGTTCATAGATCGATGCTCAATCACTGAGCC